TCTGTCCCCAAAGTAACCCGCTATCCATGCTGATGAGTCCGTTTCTGGGGCCAGGTGGATGCTGGGAGAATTTAGCCTTTGCCTTGCCTCTGTACCAAGAATGAAGAACTGGTGGAAAATAGCAACCCTTTCTCCAGAGACGCAGGTTCTTAATGTAGGTTCTTGGAGCAGGAAACGCCCGCCCTCACCAAAGGAGTCCATGAAAAGGATTCAGGGTGTCCCTGAATTGGAAAGGAAAAAAAGCATATATTTTTATTTTTGCTAACTTCTAACTAAATGTTAGCTAGTACTGCCTTCAATTCAAATACAGGCAACCCAACACAATTTTATCAGCAGCATGTGACTTTGCTATCTATAGAAATCACAGAAATTTTCATATTAAATTGTAATTTTGTTATACGACATCTTGAAATAGACTCATTCCTATCTGGAGACTGTAACAATGATTAGATTCACTTCTATATCTTGCCATTTAATAGAAGCACATATGGAAATACATCAATTTGTAAAATTATTTAGATGAATTATTTTATGCAATTTACTTTCCTTATAACTCCATTTTTATTTTAGGCATGAGAAATCATTATATTACAATAAACTTTGAAGACCTCACACTGAGATAAACCAGACATAAAAGGACAAATATCATATGATTCAATTTATATTGTACATGGAACATACAAATCCATAGGTAGTAAATAGAAGGTGGATGGCCAGGGGAGAAGTGAACAATGAATTATTATTTATTGAGGACAGAGTTTCAGTTTGGCAAGATGATAGAAGTTGTGGAAATGGACAGTGTTGATGGTTTATGTACATTAGTACATAAAATTTACTTATGTATAATAGACACTTAAAAATGGTCAAAATGGTAACTTTTAGGTTGTGTGTATTTTATTACAATTTTTAAAAATCTGTAGGAACAGCACAAGGATTTTCTCACCACATTTAAAAACCCATACTACTCTGGAAAAGAGTTCATGGGTCTCACCGGAAGAATTTGTGGCAGAACCCAGGGCTAAGAACATTTGGTTCCGGAGCAGCCAGCAGTCCTGATGCCTGGCACACCATCTGGAGTCTGTCCTGCCTTGAGGACTCTTGTCTCTCTCTTCAGGGAGCAGCTGGAATGCCCTGCCTCTGTGGCCCCTGTTCTGTTTCCAGGGCTGGCCTGGGGATACAATCCATCCCTCCAAACATCCTTCTGATATTCCAGAAGAAACTTGCTGCCTGCCAGTAGTCCATGGCCTTGTTTTTTGTTTAATTGAAAGGTTATTTTGGCAAGTTTCAGAGAGGATTTAAACCATCTTGGCACCAACCTGAGACTTGCTTCTTGCTGCAATACAGAAACTTGCTCTATGAGTCAGTATGACTTAATATTTTGACCACATACATTGATGTATATCTCAGGATAGCTGTCTCCCATTTCATATAACATTGCATGCTTTTACTGCACCCTCTGAAACCTCTCAAACACTTTGAAGATGAAGAACTAAGACTCACAAGAGTCAAGCAAAATTCTTGGACCCCTAAGTGTTTGTATCTCACATTTTCCTGCAGTGACTTTTCTTCTAAGGAGTACAGGACTGCATTAAATGAAGATCACATTTTGAAGAATTTGGCTTTGAAAACAGGGAACTAACTAAGCAAAGGTTGTCAGAACTGTAGAGCTGGAAGGGCCCAACCCAGCTAGCGCATCCGGCCTGTGTGAGGCCCAGAGAGGTCCTGGAGCGGCCCTGAAGCCAGAGCCTCTTTCCCTACGTTCTGACATCAGCTTGAGGGTTGGTCGAAGCTTCTGCTTTGCTTATGTTACCTAATCTGGTTTCTTCCTCAGTCCTAGAGATAGAGGGGTCAGGGAAGAGACTCTGCATTTGGAATAAAGGCCTGTACCTGGAACCCCACAGACCTCATTTGACATCAAAACATGATAATCACTGTGCCAAGCTCCTGATGTGCATCATCTCAGTCATTCTGAAACTTGCATCATTCATGAATTCCATTTATAATCTTTACCATATTTAAACGTTATTAGTATTATAATCTATCTAATTTTTTCTTTTAAAGAAATCTATTTTTAAGTTTACTGAGAGCAAATTTTCTTATCACCACTGTAAATAAACAAACAGCAACCATAATATTAATCCAATAAACCATTTATTAATTTCCATTTCAGTACTGCTGCCTGAACCCATCTCCTCTTCCCTTCTCCTCTCCCCTCACATAGATACACATAAACGTACATGTATATCTGTATACAATTTAAGGTAAACAAAAAAGAAAGAAAAAATTTTAGATAAGTTATGCACAGACTTGAACACAAATGGAACATGTAGGGCCAGAAGTGCCCAGACACCTAGAGGTCCCTTGAGTCTGGGACAAACTCACCAGATCCACCTTAAGAGGTGTCCTCTGAGGTTCCAGGAGGTTCCCCTAAAGAAATGACCTGAACTTCCCCCACTAGGGCCTCCTGCGCTTGAGCAAAGCATCGCTCTCCCTCTACAGCTTCTTCAGAGCTGCAGGAAGCCTAACACAGAGCAGAAATGCAGGTTGCTGGTGCTTCCTGCCAACAGAGGTCTCAGGAAAAGGGAGAACCTTAAGAAATCGGAGGAGGCAGGGAAAGATTAGGATTCGCCATGGGGAGATGCTGCTCCCTCACTCAGGACCTGAAGAGTTCCCAGGCTTTGCATGTATCTGAGAGGGCAGGGAGGCTTGAAGAAGCACAGGGATAAAAGATGGCAAAGGACATCATTTAGGTGGCGCATGACTGTGAGTCAGTTCCCTCGCTGCCTCTTATCTCCTGTGGGCGGAAAGGAAAGGCTGATGGGAAGGCCAGATTGCAGCCCAGCCGGGGCCTGCTTCTCATCGCTGGCAAACCACTTCCTCAGGCTCCCTGGAGCTCAGCACATCTGGCAACCTGGTGGGCTTTTTCTTAAGGACTCGGAAAACACAAACACAGATGCACGCGTGCAGGCGTGTGTGATCTATAAATGCACTGAGAAGTGCTGATGGGAATTCAGACTTGTTCTGTGGCCCTGAACAAGCTAGTGCCCTCTCTGGGCCTCAGTTTTCTTGGGGTGTAGGATTATGGAGGGGAGTCAAAGCTAGTTGATGGCTAAGAACTCTTTTTTTTTTCTTATAACAAAAAATCATAATATTATGGGTGATGCTCTCAGAAAAAAATACAGAAACACACAGAAAGCACAGAGAAATAATTATGAATATTGCTGTTATGGAAGCCAAGTTTCACAAGGTCTCCACATTAAGAAAAATCCAGCTAAATAGCAGGTTATCAATTATCAGACAAAAAGATGAAGTTATACATATTGAAAGCTATATTTATTTGCTCCAATGAATGAGTTTAATCTGAAGCTATATATTAGAGATCACACCAATAGTGGCCTTGTTTCTTTTGCACTGTACTGTGCTTCTAAAAATTGAGCAAATATTTTAATAGCAGAAGATTTTTCCCTAAAGTTTCTATACCCATCTCTTCACAAAATTCCATAGATGCAGCCACAATCTGTGGGCTGTTCATCCTATCTTGTAACCTCCTAAATCCAGATATTTGAATTTGAGATTGTATTTTACATAAAAAACTCTGGACGTCCAAGGCAGAAAAGGAAATGTCCCTGCTGGAAATGTCACTGTCATCCCAGGTGACTGACACTAAGCCTAGCAACAGTTTGGCCATCCCAGCCTAGTCTTGCTGACCATGAGCAAGGCTTGATGCACAGCAGCTGTCTGAACCCTTTGCAGAAGTGGCTGCCCTGTCTCTTACAGGCAAGCATCAGCCATGAGGGCTGGAGCCCATATGTTTCCCAGAAATAGTCCCACCTCCCATTTGATCCGCATGTCCTGCTGAACCTCCACAGCACCTCCTGCCATCGGGGGGCTTTTCAATTTCTTCTGCCCTGGGACTTTTTCCAATGTGTGAAATAGCTTTCTCTTTTTTTCTGCAGAGGTTTCCTATGCTTGGTGAAAGGGTTTTTGCCAGGTGGAGGCTTTTGCAAAAATGGCTTCTCAGTTAAGCCTTTTCCCTCTGGATCTTTCAAGATCCCATCAACTTAGCTGGTCTTCATTGTTGGCTTCTATCTTCAACTTGCTGCAAAGGGCCAGAGGGAGACAGAAGGGGCCACAGCCAGAGAGGGTTTCCAGAGGAGTAAAATTGGGTCTGATCCTAGTTCTACAGCTGGAAATGACAAAAAGAAGGAGGAACTCACGTCAGCTGCAGAGGTAGGAAGATACCAGGCATGTTGGGGAGCAGAAATGGAGAGCTGCTATGCACATGTATTTTAGGGGAGTATTGGTAAGGACTGCTAAGACAGGAAGGGCCCACAGGGCAGAGGATTATGAATGCCCTGATACAATTCAAACTGTCCTGAGTTCAAGGAGAGCCATTAGAGTCTCAGAGCCTGAGAATGAAATGGGTTGATCTATATTTTACAAACAGCAATGGATTGATTTGGAAGAGATACAAGAGACAAGAGAAACAGAGAGAAAACAAAAGCACAAGTCCGCACTAGAGACAAAAGGCTGAGCTGTGTGGCAGCAGTGTGACTGGAGGTGGCAGCCAAAGTGAATCTGATGTGAGGACACTTCTGTGGGCTCATGTATCAAATGAGGAGCAGGTGGAGCTGATGTCCCTGTGCCCTGGCTCTGAGAAATGGTGCCTCCAGGAAGACGGAAGACAGACAGATTTCAGAGAAAAAAGCAATGAGTCTGTTTTTGCATTTAGGGGAGAAATTAGTGTGCAAAGCAGAGTTGTTGGGGTTTGTGGGATCCCGTTCACACAGTTCATTTGTGGATAAGTATGGTTTTCTAATACATTAAAGGTCTATATATTCTGGTGGATAGACCAACTCTGGTATGAAAGAAAAACCCCTTTCTTTCTGTCTTTGCTGCTTGGGAAAATTCTATCCAACTTTTGGTGCTTGGCTGGAATGTGCTCTCTTTTGGCAGAACTACAACCTTTCACGCAGTTCCCTCATGTTTTTGTCTCACAGTAACCACAGTCCTGCAGAGCTGAAACTCACGGTCTCATCGCTTTCCCCACGGATGACAGGTACATTAATTTAACCTTCAATTCTTCCACCCGGCATAGTGTTTAATAGTGTTTAAGTCACTAAAAGTTGAAGAGAAAATATATAATGTTGTTTGTAACTTTCTTGCAGGTTTATATCTATGGCACTCGGAAACCCAAAGAATCATTTCAGATCACACAACTGACTTAATTCAGATCCCTGGTACACCTCTCCTTACCTTTCTCCCTGAGTTAGCACCATTTCAGGTCATACTTTTGTATATCATCCAATCCCATCCCTAAAGTACTGTACAGTATGTAGCTACCAGTGGAAATTTCCCCATTGGGGAAATCTCTTTATTTTACAAAACTGAGGGTTAAAGAGGAGAAGGATCTATTTAAGGTTTTATCATTTATTTTGTTTGTGCATTTATTTGACTTGCATCCATTAATACTTCCTGTGTGTCCAGTCCCTTGAACCAGACCAAGGCCAGACAAAGAGCCACATACTCCACCCCAGACTCCTAGGACAGTGCTTTTTCCCTTGTCCCACCCCATCTGGCAGAAGGGATTTTCATAATTTCTGCCCACATTCTGCGTGCACAGGTGACTTGAACCCTTAGTGTCACAAAATTAACATCTTTTCACTTTAATAAAGCAGCTGTGTTTCCACCCCATCTTGTGCTTCCCTTCTCTATACAACATACTTGGAGAGCACCACTAATTTCAGTGTCTGGCTTCCAGAGCCAGACGTCAAAACAGCTACCTTTCATCTCAGGTTTGTAACACAGAAAACCTTCAATATTGGGAACAGATAGCCTTGGAGGTGGGTTCATATCTCTCAGCAAGATTGCTGTAACTTAACTCTCCAGCACCCGATCAAGGCCCTCTCTCTGCCTCCTAGGTATTTTAATACAAATGTTCCTTTCATTTGACTGATTGAAGGTCTCCAACCTGCAATAAATGAAACATCTGATCCCCTTGAATCCAAATCACTTTTTCTTTGATTTTCTTTTACTTCTATTTCTTCATCCTTTGTTCTACAGCTCGAATCAAATTTCCCTTTAGAAATTGAAAGAATGTGTGTAGGTTTTTCCTGCCTATTTTTTTAAAAACTAAACTCTAGTGCAACTGCTGGCTCGTGGACTAGAATATTAAGATCAAATTCAATGGCAGACTGTCTCCAGCAATGTGCTCTGTGTGGAATTGTCCCTCCCAGTGTGGGCAATGGCTGTACAAATTAGCTTCTGTGTACTAGTCACCGAAGCCAGCCTCCCAAGTAACCCTTAGGCTTGAGAGAAAATAAGACCAAAGAGCTTTTCTCCTGTGAAAAAAACTAAGTTATCCAAACACAAAGACCTACATGTTAGCATCTGGCTCTGGAGTTGAGTGTTTAATTGCCTGTGTAATGACTCAGCCCATCCACATGGTATTGAGTTCTTCAATACCATGTCAAGTATTAGGCGAGAAGTAATCAGTTAGTTGCTGGAATGACAGTGTGCATATCAGTCATTTTAAAAGGCAAACAGGGTCTATGAGAAGCTAGTAAAACTGACTGTGTGTTTATTTCTCTGATTGTGCCCTGGGTCCACAGTTATGCTATTAATCCACTCATTGGTGTTGGTCTTGCATTTGGGTGGATTGAACCATAGGGAATAGGATGATTATTACATACTGGTAAAGTTATCTCCCTCCTTAAAGTGACAGAAAGTATTGTCCCTTAAGGGTTGTGATGGTTAGTCTTGATTATCAACTTAATTGAAACGGAAAACACTTAAGAAATTATTAAATTAGTAAATATTTCTTAGTATGTCTGTGAGGGTTTCCAGAAACAATTGAATTATGAGAGCTCTAACTTCATGAATTCAGTAAGCCATTGATGAGATTACTGAGAAGTGATGGAGATTTAAGAGAAGGGAATCTAGCTGAAGGTAGTAGGTGATGGGGGCATTATCTTTGAGGCTATATTTCATCCCCAGACCCTTCTCTCTGTGGTCCTTTCCCTTTAAATCTGCTTTCTGACTGCCATGGAGTAAACAGTGTTCCTCTTCTGGGACCTTTCATGCAATATTTCTGCCTTGGAACCAGCTAACCATGGATAGAAACCTCTGAAACCAAGTAAATGAGCCAAGTAAATCTTTCATCTTGAAAATTACGCGTGGCAGATGTTTTGTTCCAGCAATAAGGAAGTGACTAATATGGGGATAATTGAGTAATTATCAAAAAACAATAACAGAAACCTGTTATACTCTGCCATGGTCTGAATGTCTGTCCTCCCAAAATTCATAAATTGAAATCTTACCAAAGTGATGGTATCAACAGGTGGGATCTTTGGAAGGTGACTAAGTCCCTAAGTGCCCTTAGACAAGAGACCTGAAGGAGCTTATTTTCCCCTGCCATCATGTTGAGGTTGAGGCAAGAAGTTATCATCTCTGAGGAGCTGGTCCTCGTCAGACACCAAATCTGCCAACAGCTTTATATTGAACTTCTAAACTTCTACAACTAGGAGAAATAAATTTTCATTGTTTATATGTGGGGTAGTGAATGCATCTTGTTAGAGTAGCCCAGACAGACTAAAACACACTCCCTAACCTTTGACTTGCTACTGCCTTAGGGATGTTAGCTTTCCTGAGCCTCTGCACAGTTTCTGGCCTCAAGGAGCCCTCCACTGATGGCTTTGCCTCTCAGTTACCTACTCATGGTACCCACAGTCTGCTTAGTCCTCTCCCACAGAGTTTGTCATTTGACCCAGAGGAAAAAGTCAGAAGTGATGGTTTATCCACCTGAGAATGAGTTACAAAATACTGTGGCTTCAGCTTGAATGTGTTCTCTGTTTCTTTTGTTCCTCTCCACACTACTTTCCTTCCTTGAATGTCTTGCTCCAGGGAGAGCAAACTGCTGTGTTGTGAACTATCTAATGGAGAGGCCCACGTGAAGAGGATCTAAAACCTCTAGGAAATAGTGAGGGAATAAAGTCCTCTAGACAACAGTCATGTAAGCCTAGATGTAGATTCTCTAGCCCAAGTTGGGGCTTATAATGACTGAAACCTCAGCTGACAACTTGACTGCAACCTTGTTAGTGACCCAGGACCACCCTCCTAAGTTGCTTCTAGATTCTGAGCCCTCAGGAACTGCACGAGTCAAACATGATTTTTTATTTAAAGACACAAAGTTCAAATACCATTATGTAATGGTAAACAACTTAGGAACCATGCAAACTGGCTTCAGGGTTTTCTGAGAAGTTCTTGGTCAGCCTACTCAAGCTGAGTGGTAAGAAGTACTTGTTGCTTCCTTGTGTTTTCAGTTTCCCTTTTTAAGAAAGATTCCTAACTTTCAAATGAACATGTGGCTGCCTAGAATAAACACTACATTGTTCAGCTTCCCTTGCAGCTAGCTGTGATTATGTGACTATATTCTGGTCAGTGGGCTGAATTAAAGTAGTGTGTGTAGCTTCTGGGGAGTTCCCATGCTAGGACATGAGCCTTTCTGTTCCTCCTTCCTGTAGTCTGGAACTTTCAAGAGATGTTGGAGCTTCTACAGCCACCACGAATGAGACAGTGATGATGCAGAACAACAAATAGAAGGTGCAAAGATCTCTGATACCAAGAAACACCAAGCCAAAATTATACCATTGAAGTCTCTGTTGCTTGAGGATGTTGTATCTTGAAGATGATCCTAATCTTAAACTTAATTTGGTCTGTCTGGTCCATGAACTATGATCATGGCTCATGCGTTATAGCAGACAGGCTCCTAAAGGAAGAATGTCATTGATGGCATCACTCAATGATCCCTCAATCCCATAGCAAACAAAATATGAGATTTAGGTGTGTCTTAATTTTCTCTTTGCCTTTATGATTATTCCTGTTCTTAAGCTTGGGGCCTTGACACTTGACTCAGAAGCTTTTCCCAGAAATTTCCTCTTTATAATGCTCTCATCACTCCTCCACAGATTTCCTCTAGCCAGGAGGACAAAATGTTTTCCCACAATGATTCCCTTGTCCATCAGACCCAACCCTCACAAAGTGTCCTGGTTTGTTCCCTCTGTTCTCCTCTCCCAGAGGAATTTCTTTGCCCTAATGTTGTCCCAGAAGCTTATGCTCCCAACCTGCCTGGGACATTTTTAATTTTTTGATAGTCAACTGATAACCTTGATATGTCTAATGATTCTGCCTACCCAATGGTGCCTAACACTCTGCAGAGGCCTCCTTTATCTGAGTACAGTTGAGTCTTCTCCTTGCATTAGGTTTGAAAACACTACCCAAATTCTCTCCCTCATCTACTTTATGGGCCTTAGTAACCTGATGCTCTGGTTGTCTCCTCGGAGCTAACACCCTTGCCCTTAAAGAGCTTTCTGTTATCCCGCACAGCCTCAGGCTTTTCTGCTCATCTAGGCTAGGACCCCCACACACAACCCAAGATGCCTCAAAATTCTTTAGGGTCTTCTCCTATCTTCCAGGGACACTTTCCCAGTAGCAGGCCCCAGCACGCAAACCTTGTTTTCTCTGTCCACCAAGACTTCTGTGGTTTGACTGTGTCACTCCAAGTTTGTGTGTTGGAATCTTAATCCCTAAGTCTTATGTTTACAGTATTTGGAGGTCAACCTTTAGGAGGTAATTAGGATTAGGTGAAGTCAAGAGGATACGACCTCCATGGTGGCACTGTGGCTTTATAAGAAGAGAAAGAGAAGCCTGAGCCCTGCATTCTTGTTTTGTGTGACTATGTGGTGCTGCCCTCTGCCATGTTTTGGTGCAGTAAGAGACCCCCCCCCCCACACACACACTCCATAAGTCAGCATCACATTTCAAACCTCCAAGTTTGAAACTTCTATTAAATTATCCAATCTTTGGTATTAGCAGCTGAAAACAGACTAAGATAAGGTCTAAGCCTCCCCTCTTATCCTACAGTAAGACAAAATGGGTCCAAAATTTAAGGAGGTCACTTCAGTTTCTTCCACCTAGTGTCCCTCTCAGAGTGTGATGATTAAATGAAAACTTGGGCTGCACTCAGCACAAAAGAGCAGTCTGTGAAGCTGTCAGAATCCAGAGCTCTGATACTGACGTTTATGCTCCACTCCCCATTCATCTGTTGAAGCCTAATACCTATTATGATGGGCTTTGCGGGTAGGGCTCTGGGAGGATAATTAGGTTATGAAGGTGGATCCCTTTTGATGAGGTTAATGTCTTTATGAGAAGAGCATGAGAGAGATGATATCACTTCCTACCATGGGAGGATACAGCAAGAAAGCAGCCATCACTACGCCAGGAAGAGAGCTCTCAACAAGAACTGAGTTTGATGCTCCTTGATCTTGGGCTTCCCAGTCTCAGAAGTGGGAAATAAATTTCTGTTGTTTAAACTATCCACTTCATTGTCTTTTGTTATCATAACCAAATTAAAATAAACTCCCACCAAGGCATTGGTATGACTTATAGGCCCCAATAGTTTATTAAAACCCTTTCTCTTGCACTTAAACTGTTCCCGCAGACGTATTCTCTCTTCTCACGGCTCCAGGTGCTCTCCTGTCCTGTCCCCTTTCTCAGTGCCAGGTCTCAGCAGGCCCATTCCACCTGCTCATGCTTCCCAGTTGTGTATTCGACATCCACAGGTCCAGATCCCTGAGCCCCCTAAGGGTGGAGACTTGGCTTTCTCCTGGGGACAGGTTTGCCATGCTGCAGGAGTA